GATGGAACTTCTACTTAGTATGTCAAATGAAATGAAACAAATCAAAGAACAGTCCGAACGACAGACAGAAGAGTTAAAACAACAGATCAAGGAACAGTCCGAACGACAGACAGAAGAGTTAAAACAACAGATCAAGGAACAGTCCGAACGACAGACAGAGGACCAGCTAAAAAAAGTGAAATTGGAAGTGGCAGAACAGATTGAAGAACAGTCAACAAGAATAGAAATGATCGAGCAGAAACTTGATCGTCAGACCGTTGAGGTAGATCACAAGATAGACAAATTGAAGCGAGAATTGGAGCAATCCAAAAAAATGGCCATGCCGTTAGATAACGCATCCGGAAGAACTTTGAAGGTACCAGCATTTGACGGAGAGATGTCTTGGAAAGTTTATAAAACCCAGTTCGAAGCAGCGGCAGCTAGTAACTGTTGGAACGGAAAAGAACGAGCAACAGCACTGATACTGGCCCTGCGAGGTTCAGCAGCAGAGGTTCTTCAGACGATTCCGGCGGAGAACCACTTCAACTATGAAGTTCTGGTTAGCGCGTTGGATTTACGTTATGGTGAAGAACACATGAAACAGATTTATCGGTCAGCTTAGAAACAGAACGCAACGATCTGGTGAATCCATTCAGCAGCTGGCACAAGATATCGAACGGTTGACACTGCTGTCGTATCCGACATCAGACCCCGAGCATAGAGACGAAACTGCCCTGGATACGTTTATCAAAGGCCTTCGTGATTCGGAACTCAAACAATCCCTTCTCTTGTCAGATAAACGAAAACTCTAGGATGCCGTCTCACTTTTGAATCGGCAAAGCAAGCATCAAAAAGTGACGTACGTCTACGCCAAGTACATGAAGAATGCTCTTGCCAGAAGGTGGTTGTGAAACGCGAACCCCAACAGCATGGTGTACCCCAATGCTGGATTTGTGGTGAAAAAGGCCATCTACGTCGTGATTGTAAACACCGCCTAAAAGATAACTACTGCCGAAATTGCGCGACAAGATGGCGCAAAAGAAGAGAAGATGATCCTGTATCACGATCGGCCCCTTCTAACCAGAAGGTGGTTGTGAAACGCGAACCCCAACAGCATGGTGTACCCCAATGCTGGATTTGTGGTGAAAAAGGCCATCTACGTCATGATTGTAAACACCGCCTAAAAGATAACTACTGCCGAAATTGCGCGACAAGATGGCGCAAAAGAAGAGAAGATGATCCTGTATCACGATCCTAACGGAAAAATTAATAAGAGCCAACTTTGTGGGGCAGAGGTTAGCTAGTAGAATTGACGCCCCCAGTACCGTAATTAACGTTTCCAGACTACATCGAAATCGAAACGACCTATAGCTGAACGGAAAAGTTGATCAACGAGAATGCGTAATTACAGTCGACACCGGAGCAACAAAATCGATTTTAAGATCTGATTTGGTACCCAATCTGAAGAAAGAGACTTCTAACAAATACATCCTTCGAACATCTACCGGAGGAACAGCACCAGTCTATGGAAAGATTCTCCGTACTGTTCAGCTAGGCGACTTGTTATTCGAAGGTTCATTCTTAGTCGCGGATATCATCGACGAATGCATAATAGGTGTCGACTTTCTGACAAAATATGGATTCAAAATTGACTTAGAAAAACGCATTCTTAGATGGAGAAGTGATAATGGGGGATAACGACGAAAAATGTTTTCGAGTGACAGTCGATTGTGACTTAGAACTACCGCAATCATCTGAAAACATCGTATGGGGCAAGTTGAATTTCGATCCAGAGGGCCACCAGTTCTATTTGATGGAGCCAACCTCAAAGACAAATGTACAGAACGCGGTCATTGGAAAATGCCTGGTAGAAGCGAACAAAAATGGTCTTATTCCTGTCAGAATAATGAATACCGCTAAACACACTATTAGAATTAAAAAAGGCGAGGTAATTAGGTAATAGGAAATAGGTAATTGCCAATCAATAAATTTGGTGAAATCTTTAGACATGGAGCAACAGAAAAAGGTTCTACTAACTGACAAAGGTAGACTCAAAGAACTTACCAAAAATCTACTGGATGAACTCAATTTATATCAAGAAGACCGTCTAAAAGCCGAGGCGTTGATTGTTGATTTAACAGAATACGTGGATAATCTTCGACAGCGATTAAACTATATCCACCGTTACGTACGCCTTAAAATTATGAAAAACACGGAGGTGGCCAAAACCAGATACGACTTGAAAAGAAGCAGTGGCGGTTTTGCTGTCGACGAGTTAGTTTGGCTGTACAACCCACAGCGAAAGAAAGGACGTTCTCCAAAGCTCCAGCGAGGGTGGGAAGGACCTTATTAAGTCATCACCCGCTTGAATGACGTCGTCTACCGTGTTCAGGAATATCGGAAGCCGACAGCAAAAATGAAGATCGTTCATTTGGATAGACTGGCTCCGTACCATGCGGACACCGGAACGAAAGCTGTTCGGGACGAACAGAACTAAGAAGGGGGTAATATTATAACCGTGCTACCGAACACACTAGATTCTAGCGTATTCTAGAATGTTCTAGTGACTGGAGCATTCTGGAGTATGCTAGAATCGGACCATCTAGAAGAATCTAGAAACGACGCTTGCGAAGAGTATATAAGCGCACGTCGCAAGTGATGTTCGTGATTAGTGATATTGGTGATTAGTGAAATTCGTGATTTTGTGAATAGCGATTCGGTGAATTATTTAAAGCGATATTTGATTTGTTTGTTGACGTTGTCATATCGATAGATTTTGAACGATTTAAAAGTTAATTGTTGCGTTAGTTTGAATTTACTGGAAATAAACGATTAGTTGATTTCTTCTGTAAATAAAGTTTAATAACTAATAATAGTTGATTTCTTCTGTAAATAAAGTTTAATAACTGTTTGGAATATTTTATTCAATCGAGGATTTGAACCCGTCGCATCGTAAATCGGTTACGACAGTATTATAACATTATAATTATTGTATTCAATTTTGATATATTATTAGAACAGAAATTCAGAAAATTTTAATTGTTGTTTTAACAAATTATGTGTTTAATGCTTTACTTAGTAATTGATTCATAAAATTTTTACGACCATACGTTATTGAAATTAAATTTACTAATACTAAGTCAATTTTGTTTAAAACAGAAAAATTTAATTTTTTAAATTAAGTTTAATTTTTTAAATTCCAATTTATATTTTTACTTTATTTTTTCGACCTTAATATCAGGATTTTATCATTAAACAGATTTTTTAAAACCATTTTATCTAATTGTTAAATGAAATAATATTCCTAGGTTTGAGTCAAGTAGCAACAATGAAGCAACTTGAATCATTATATCAAATTCCCGGATTAAAATTCAGTGTTGTTAATGTTAGTGTTTTTGTTTTTAAGGCTGGTTTTAGTGTTACTGCAGTTGATTTATTTTTTTTAAATTATTTATTTTATTTTCGTTAATTTAAATTTTTGCGCATTTTACGCTTTAATATTTTTATTACATGCTTTATCATGTTTTAAGTTGTTAACTTTTCATCTCTATAACCGTTGAATTGAATTTTTGTGAATACAATTATTTCCATAGATTTTTTGTCAGGCTGATCAAAATCTTCCATTGTTGTATTAACATTTGTTTTATTTTATTGTTGTTATCTTTTTTAAATTTATTTCTTTTTATCAGTGTTATTATTATTTTTGTAAAAAAGTTGTGAGCAAATCTGTCTTGAGTGCCTATGTTGCAGCTGTTGTAAATAATATATTAAAAAAAAACTTGTAGCTTCTGTTCTTTTCATTTTTGACATTATTTATAATAGAGGCTTTTTTGTTTTTCACATCTTCTAGTTAGATGGTTAGTATTATTTTAACAACAAATGAATAATTTATTACCTATTGATTTAAAATATACAAAATATACTATTGATGTAACATTAAAAAACAATTAATAGGTGATGTATGATGAAAAATTTGAAGAAACAAAAGATCTTTCTGCTTTGTTTAATATAACTGCCGTTAGATTGAAGAGCAGCTCTAAATACATTGGTTACTGTTTTTTTCGTGTTTTATATAAATTTTTTCTTAATTAACTTGTTTTCATTGCATTCTATAATATAGAATATAATATAATATATAATTTTCACTTTTTCAGATTTTCTTGGACGTTAATATATTTTGAAAAATAATATTTAAAATTATCAGCGTCAAATTGCATGGTATTGAACTAACTAATGAAAAATCAAAATTTAAAGTTTATCGGTCAAGGATTTAAAAGCAATCACTTTTAATTAACCATTGAATCTTTAAAAACTTTACAAAATTTTTATTTGCTACGACTCACTTTTTGATATTATGCAACTTCAAATCTAGCCGAGCAAACGCTAATGTAAAATTCAATTATAAGTAGAAACTCGAATGTTTTTTTTAAAAGGTAATAATTTTAATTAATTAAAAATTTATTGTTAACAATCAGAATTCAAATCATTAAAATTTTTTTAAGTTTATATGTAGAAACTTTACTCCGACACAAACTTTTCTCAATATCAAGCCTGCTTACGTTTTTGTAACAAACCAAGAATTTATAGAGTATTAAATAGTTAATTATTCAACGTTTTGAAATACTTTTCCGGAGCTTTCCAATACATTTGCACAAAAACAATCAAAAGAATATGTATTTGTTTTTATTGCCACCAATATATTTGCTAAATTTGGCTTAATTTTAGACCACTCTTTTATCAAAGTGCTTTAAAAGTTACTGTTATCAACCTTCTCGGTAGATTATAAACAGGGCTTTGGAGCAAGCACTTTTTTGAATTGCTCCGCTCCGGCATAAAAAAAGTTTGCTCCGCTCCGCTCCGTGCTCCGAGGCGGGAGTGTGTTTTAGAATCAATTAACACAAATTTTTTCAAATATTTTTTTAATCAATCAATTGATTGATTTTTAGTACCACTTCCGTAACGTATAGTTAAATTGATGAAATATACAAAAAATTAAGAAAGTACAGGTTCTAAAAATAAAAATGATACACCATACAGACACAAGATAATCAAGTTAAGTCAATAATTCAATCATTCATTCTAATAAACAAAATAGCGGAAAGCAAATCTTCTTTCATCGATTGTCTGTTATCACTTAGTATTAATTTCAAAGCTGAAAATAATCTTTCAACGCTGGCTTGTGATGTTGGCATACTTGCAGCTATTCTGCTTGACTGTCTGATTCGATCTGGATAATGTGCAATGGCTTCGAAGACATTCACCTTTATTCTTCCAACATCCTCAATAGCTTTACAGTCCTCTTCAAAATGCCTTTGTATTTCACAATCATTTTCAATGTGTGATTTCGTGTGTTTTCTCTTCTATCTAGCTCATTTTCAAAATCATCATCATCATCTTCAGAGATAAAATTTAAATCACATGTTGGCTGGGACACATTAACAGATGTTGACTCTTTTGCTGAATCAAATACTTTTTTTCTTTTTAATCTCAATTGAATATCAGCCAAACCTTCTCTGGCTTTGATTTTGTCTGATTTATTCAATAAGATTCTGTATCTAGCATCAACATACACTCCAGCAAGAAAATGTGTGTTGTGTAAAAGCTTTTCTTTCCGCTTTCTCATAGAAGATAAAATTCCTAGCGCAACATATTCTCCATTTTCTTCCAAACATTTTTCAAGTTTACACCACTCCTTCATAAACATACCTGGAGTAAGATCAGCAGCTTGAAGGGCAACTGTAGTGATATTAGGTTTCTCCAAAACATCTCTGATATTTTTTACTTCATTCCATTCATCTTTGCTAAGTTCTAAATCTTTTGTTCCTGCAGCAGCTACAACTTGTTCGTAATAGTCTTTGAAAAACAGAAGACGATCAAGCATTGCATATGTTGAACCCCATCTTGTTACTGTATCTAAAGATTGTGTTTTTCCATACATTTTCAATAAAATACTACGGATTGTTGGTGTTCGTAATTTTACTACAACTTGCCTAATTCTTCCTAGAATTTTTGTTACTCGTTCATTTTTTAATCCATCCCAAATGGCCAGTTGAAGAGTATGAATTCCACACCTCATTAATTGAATGTTTGTGTCTTCATTAACCCACTGTGGTAATATTTCAGAAGGATCATTGACCCACTGTTGCAAAATGTTTGCACTGTTCTCATCAATATCCTCAGGTTCTTCATTACCTTCACCTTGAGTGATGCTTTCACGAATTCCAAGTTTATTTACAGCAGATGTCATGTTTGCTGCATTATCTACACAAATACTAAGTATTTGTTTTTCTTCAATATCAAATTTTTTTAAGGTTTCTTTAATTTGATTTTTTACATACAAAGAGTTATGATTTCCTTCAGTGTCAACTATATCTAGGGTTTTTATTTCAGACTTATTACTTGTTTCATTATAAAATTGTAAATTAATGGCAAGATAGTTTTTATTACCACGAGTTGCTGCATCTAGCTTCAAATAACATAACTGTCCCCTCAAAGTTTGCCTCAGTTTCATGCGAGAAGAAT